CCAGGACATCGAGCTCCTCATTGCATGTTTCACTGAAAGAGATTAAAGAAGCAACTGTAAAATGTTGCTAAAATAATAAAATTGTTTTTATGTTGTGGTACACATTTTTTTTAACATGTTAATACAGTGCATGGTGTGTGTGTCAGAACTTACTATGAGTTCTTCTTATGAAGAGCATAAATCTTATACATAACAAACAGGAGGGCCAGAGGCAAAAGAACGAGGAAGAATATCAGGAATCCAGCTACAGCTTTATCGTTATCTGGAAAACAAAACAAAATCAACACAATGTCACCATTCCATTCCACCTGCACATTAATCAGACAGCAGTATTTAATGAATGGAGGGCATGCTTGCTGTTCGAGGTGTAAGTTGTATAATACTTACATTTAGTACGAAATTCTTTGGAACTGTTGGGAATTGTTTCAGCATCACTGTAAAAATGGCCATTAAACACTTCAACCTAAAAATAAGATGATTATTTTAAAACAATAAATGCATTTTAATATACAGTAAGCCAGATTGATATTTTCTTATAAAAGAGATTTTCTTCTAATAATAGAGAACTTTTCAGTCATCAACTTAATTTAAACTTTGCATCCTACAAACATTCTTAAGTGTTAAAAAAGGAAGAGAATCATTTAAGTAGAATGACAGCTACTTAAGCTGTATGTAAGGCTGCCAGTGAGACTTCTAGTTAAGTTTTGCATTGTACTTAATTGCACAATCTGGTTATTATTTACACTGAAATATATGACATAATGCTAACTCAAGTTTGAAACTGTGCAACTGTTTCAATGAGTAATTAAAACATCCAGCTAAAATTCTTATCCTGTAACATGTCGCTTGCACTTGCTGTCCATAGTGCTAGCAGTTGCTGTTTAAGGATTGTGGTTATGCATAGAACTACCATTGACTGGCTAGGTGTTTTTAGAATGTTTTAATGAGCTACACTGTTGTGTCAAGTTATCTTTTACTGTTGGTCATGATTTATCTGTAGGAGTACCGCTGTTAGTGTTTCCAGTGGTCAGGTCACATGGACATGAAGAGTACAAAAAATTTGGACTTGAGGAAAAAAGTTTTAAGAATTGGGCTTTTGACATGTTTAGCTATTGGAATCTAAAGAATGATTTTTTTTTAGCAAAGACACATTGGATATCCTTTATCAGGAAAGTATTTCATATGGGTTAGTAACTGAGAGTATTTCACATTATTCTGTGAGACCAGACACCAAAAAGGTTACCAACATTGTCAATAAAATACCTGAAATAATATATACATTTAAATTACTGTATGTACATCATACC